GTCGAATGCATCCCCCTCGTTGCCTTGTACTGTGGCTTGGGCTGCGGCTGCAAGCGTTTCCTCGGTTTGGCTCCGCAACAGAGCGGATGCCTGGCTTCTGGCCTTCTTGAGCGGGCTGTCTTCTTCTGCTTCCCCCGGTCTCTTAGAGCGCCTTTCCCCCTCTGGCAGCCAGTATTCTTCTTCTGTGGTGGTGCCGTTGCACAGGTCTGCTTCGGTGCCCCCTTCTGGTTGGTAGGCTAGCGAAGTTGCATTCCAGGGCACGGTCAGCGCGTCTGCGGCGGAGCTGTTGTCCGGGCATGTGGGTAGTGGTAGTCTGGTGGTAGTGGTGGCGCTTCGGCTTCCCCACACCTGAGCTCCCCCGTTTCGCCCTCTTCCTCTGGCGTCTTCTCGGCGGAGCGGGGTTGGCCTGCTTGCATGAGGTTGTTGCCGTCCCCCTCCGGTGGGTCTTCACTTGGCCAGCTTGTTTCCGAGTCGCTGGGTGGCTGTGGTGGCCTCTTTTGCTGAGCTTGTGGTGCTCGGTAGCTGTGGACCGACTGGAAGGTCTTTCTTTCTTCTTGCGAGTAGAAAGAGAAGGTTCTTGTGCTCGTCGCATTGGGACTGGCTAGCTCTTTCTCCCCCGCTGTGGGCTGTTGTTGTTGTGGGTGTTGTCTGCGCTCGGTCAGCCGTGAGCTCTGTCTGGGTCCCAGGTTGTTCCCCCTGTATAGGGGTCCGGTTCCCGCTGTATAGGGGTCCGGGGTGGTGACTCTGGTTGTGCTTCGGGCTGTACCCGGTCACTGGGCCTGGGTTGCTGTCGCAAACCTTCTGTGGCTGTAGAGTGGTTCTGCACCTGTTGTGCCTTGTGGTGGTGCTGTTCGTCTGTGTGCTGGCTGCTGGAGGTGGTGGCGTGGTTCTGCGCTTGTTGTGCATTGTCGTGGTGGTGGTCGTCTTGTGCTGGGTGCGAAGCGGTCTGCGGTGCGTTGCTCGGCTGGGTTTCCCCCCAGCATCCCTTGCTGCTGGCTTTGGCGGAGGGCCTGCTCTCTGTGCGCCTGTGGGGCGTGCGGGTCCGTCTCTGGGAGCTGTGCAAGGCGTCTGGCCCCCCTGATGACGGCGAGGGTGTCGTGGTCCAGCTGGAGTTGCGCCAGCTCGTGTTCTTGTAGGTGTGCGCTCAGGAGGTCTGGTCTCCCCCTGGCGTCGCTCCTGGCGCGCGTGAGCAGTTCGCCATCTTCGACTTCCTCTATTCTCCAGCAGTTGCGGTCTGGTTGCCAAACTAGGCGGTAGTGCCCTGTGCGGAGCGGAATGCTGTTTGGCTCTAGCACGCGCGGTGCAGCTCGCACAAAGAGCCTTCCCCCCTATGTATCGGAAGTGGGCATGGGCATATTGGCTCAGCGGCAGTTCAGGAGGCAGGGAGCTCGGGGGCAGATAGCCCCCCCACGAACCCACATCTGCCCCCGGTGACCCACGAGATTGGCGAGTCGAATGGCATAATGCTTTGGCTGCTGCTTGCCCCGCTGCTGGAGCTGCTCGGAAGAGTGGGTGCTCCGCCGCGGATCAGAACAGGATTCTGGGCAGCAGTATTTACACTGGGCACTGGCTGCAACATATTTTAGCACTCGCACTCGACGCATCAGGCGAGGTTTCCAACATATTAGTACTAGTACTATGCGATTCGGGATGAAACGATCTGGAGTGCGTGGTTTTGCAGTTTGTTCGTGTTAATCAAGTTGAGGTACCACGCAGGTTACATGTGCACCAGCGATTCGGACTTGTTGCGGGTGGGAAATGTCCGACAGTTTGCAGATGGGGGTACAATAGTACGGGGGCCCACTGGACCCCCCCCCTTAAAAATGGAAACGTGTCGATTAGCCCCAAGGTTCGGTGGTGAATTCTCACCTCCTCCACTAGATTTTGGCTGTCTGTAGGCAGTCCAATTTCCCCCCCACCCCCCCAACGCTCGCCCCGCCCCCCCCCCCCCCCGCTCCCCCCTGCCCCCCTCCAGGCAAAGTTCGGAAATAGCGTTGCTTTGGGCAGCACAGCACGCGGCTCCACGACCTAACCTTCTCATAGCATCGGAGATTCAAGCATCGCTATCGCCAGCTAGGGGCTATGTCGAATATCAGGCACAGAACGCGGAGATGCTACAATGGTTACATGAACCTCTTGCTGGCTTCTTGAGACAAGCCCTCTGCCTTACGCTGCTTTGCCCTGCCCTAAAACTACAATTAATACAAGTGCGATTCCAACTGTTGTTATTTTCGTACAAGAGCTTCCTGCTGCGCCGGATGGTAGCCAGTCGCCGCATGCGCGAAAAGCCGGGCCGAGGCAGACGACGCGAAGCGTTTCAAATTAGGTCCTCCCTCCTATTCACAAAATCATGGCTTTGGCGTGGGGCAGCGACCTGTCCTAGTTCAAGACTCCAAGACCCTTGATTTCTGCAAGACATCCGAGGGTCTTGCGCATGCCCTCGAGAACCTGAACCATCCGGATGCGTCATGTTGCGTCACAGGTGTCGTGTCCAAACAACCGCGGTATCAGCTGCGCTGGCTTCTGACTCGCCTTGCCGACGTCAGGAAGCGCCACCTCCGGCAGTGCAATGTGTTATCAAGCGTGGACTGCAGGACTGCACTGAGTGCACCTTGGGGTCTGCCACGAACTGCGCGAAGGAAGTGAGCCGCGAGCTGAGCCTCGGCGACGGGGCTCTGCTTGCGCTGCAACCTGTCCTCAACAGTGCAGCAGCATTCCAGCACTTACTATACACGACATACTTGGCACTTCGTACTACATAATCTCCTAATACTACTACACTACTACCACTACTACCACTACCACTACCACTACCACTACTACTACTACTACTACTACTACTACTACTACTACTACTACTACTACTACTACTAATTACTACTACTACTACTACTACTACTACTACTACTACTACTACTACGACGGTCTGTCCACTCATTGGCTGCCTCCTGATCTGACGTTGCTTTTCTGCCCCGCTCCACCCACTTGCATGACGAGGGCGTTGCCAGTAACAATCTGCAGCTGGGCACTTTTAGTGCGGAAGCGGCACTCTCCCTCCGCTGCAGACTTGAACAACTTCAGCTGCCGCTTGGCCTGTCTAACATCATATGCCGGTGGTAGAGTGCCACTCACATGCCGCCTGCTTGACGGCTTCCGCAACGCCGCTCTCAGGCTCCTCAGCTGCCAGCCGATGTTCCGATGTTGCATGGCTGTGGAGCATTGCAGCCTGATAAGAATCGACGTAGAACCATGCGCCTCCAGTTCCGGTGGGCACGCTGGCAACACCTAGCAGGTAGCTGCTACTGCAGTTCTCCACATCACGACTCTTCTGAATCTCGCCATTTAATCCATTTAGGCCGCAAAGCTGCGACATCCCCTCCAGCAAGATCGAGAACTGCTGGTGTTGCAAGGAGCGGTCGAAGGCCTTAGGGTCGACAGTAAAACGATGTGCAGGCCTTGCATGATGCTGGAGCGATGCCTCTGTGTTGCACCTATGACCTATGCGATTGCGACCCAAAGAAGCACATCGCCCAAGCGCAGCACCGACATGTTCCATCACGGGCAAACTGCCATGCGGCTTACAGTGCTGGGCTCGTGGTCGTAAGTTCATGCACCCTGCTGACAAGCCCCGGTGTCCCCGGTGTTGTTCCATTACACATTATGCGCAAGCTCTGATGCAACGCCGGGATTCCTCAGAATGGCGAACGGCTGGAGATCGGTTGAGAGATCTGGAGAGCAACTTCTAAAATGGATGCACTGTACGCCAAGCTCATTCTTTGTCGCTTGGAGCCTCTGAGAGCATGCAAGAAGCTGGATCAGACATTGCGGATGGGCGCGGAACAACGAAACCACATGATGTACCTCCCATCACCTCCCTCTCAGGATCTACCACCACATTACCACTTATCCGCCTCCTCTGCACTGGCACTTGCTGGATGGCGGTACCATAACAACCATGGAGTGACATCATGCAATGCAAGAACCTCCGAGTACGTAGCAGCTAGCAGCTAGCACCCAGCAAGCATCCTCTAAAGAAGCTGCGAAGGAGCACAACAAGGCGCAAGGGGCCCTGGCAGCAAGGTGAAAGCAAGCTCGGCAGTGCCAGGCTGGCTGGCCAAGCCGCAAGTCAACTTCAAGGTCATTGTGCAGTGAGCTGACATGCGCAGCATACCTTTTAACACCTCACGCATCGAGTGGACAAGGAATTTCACCAGAGACAACCGGCAAAGTTGGGCTTAGTTCGTGCTGTCCATGTTTTGTGCACCAAAAGTGGCTGCCACAGTGTTTTCAGTAATCCTAGTAATTAGGCTCTTCGCTTCCGACATCTTCTCAGCTGCTCCGACCACTTCCCGTTCCCCTCCCTACACTGCACTGCGTCCGCCAGGGACCCTCTCTTGCATCCGAACTTGTCTCACGCGTGGTGCACTTGACCGTATCAGGTAGAGCGATCCCCCACTTCAGTGGGACACAGAAAACCTCTTTGCCACGTATTTCAAGATATATGGCAGTACAGCAAATCTTGTCGGCCGCTGGCATCAGCTTGCACGCGTGAGCTGAAAGTGAATCTGGCCACCCAAACCTACCAAAATCTGCCAAGCCTCGGAGGAGAACTGCTCGGCTCTAAGCTTGAGTTGTCCACATGCTTGCAGTGCTTGCATGGGGTCTTGTTGTGCCCCTGCTGATGCTCGATTCTCGCTGCGCAACTGCGGTTTCAGATGGCTTTTTCCTGTCCGACTGCTGCGCTTGAACGCAGAACTGCAATGCTGTGCTGGTCGTTCCTCTGTAACCTAGACCTAGAAATCACGGAGGTTCTACATAAACAGCGGCAATGGAGAAGTCTAGCCAAGCCAGAAAGGCTTCGCTCAAGTCAACCCAGGACACATTTTTGACAACCTGATGGTCCTTGCAATGCCAATGTAATGGCGCTGTATGTGAAACACTGTTCTGCCTTTGGCAGTTCATGCCGGTGCCTGCACGTACCAGACTTCATGCAAGAGAGCTCATGTGGCAGCTTCTTTGGGAGTTCTGTCCATAAGCTCTTCCTGGAACAACCTTTCAGTGAAGAGCAAAGGTCCAGGTCAAGTTTGCGCAAACAGAAAAGGAAGGCCTTTGCATTGTCCGGACAAGGTTAGGAGGTTCAACGTCTTGGCGACTCATACGAATGAACTCCAGCTCCTGACAAAACAAACGCACGTTTCGATGCAAAACCTCGCACACCCGTAAGACTTCTTCACCAAAGACAAGTCGTCTCCTGACTTCGAACGACGGACTTCAACCTGCTGTCTTCGCTCGGTGGCTTGGCTGCCTGGTTGCGGACCAAACACCAACTTTTCAAGCCGCTTGATCTGCATTGTAATGATCGGGTCATTCCAAGTCCGGCACGTGCTGAAAGAGATTGGCAGCGATTTGCTTTACTTTGCTTCTCCTGCCATGAAACAGGTCCCGCCTTGGGCAAGAAGGCCGACCAAAGCACTTTGGCTTGAGCTGAGGAAAGAGCGATGCAATTTCGCCAAACGTCGAGCGCACCAAGGCTTCTGCCTCTTCAACAGACCTGTCATTGATAGCACCAGTTCGAAGGCAATACTAAGCAGCGCAGGTGCCGACACTTGACATCTGATTTGCTGCGTGCACAAGAAGAGCATGCAAGAGCTCCAGAGTCCTATATAGAGGTCCTGCCCTTGGACTTGCCCTTACCGCTTAATTACTCTGGGTACTGGCTTGGGAACTGTACACTGACACTGTAATTACACAATGCTGTCGGCCTCCCCGTGTCGCTGCTTTTCGGTCACATCGGTCACACGGTTTGCACATGTTCGCTGCTCCGTCGGAAACGCACGGATTCTGATTTCTGGGTGCACAAAACGTGTGACGTCAGATGGTGGCGCGTGGGCATGTGCCGCTTGTTGCTGCACACCGTGAAAACCCATCGGATCAGCAGGCCGTGAATGAACAATTGAGCTGTTGTCCTGTTGCCTCAAAAAGGCCTCATGGGCACAACTTGAGGCACATTTCCACCAACTCAGCGGGACAGCGAGAGAAGACTAAATCATGGTGTGATTGCTTTCGCCCTTCTCTTGATTTCTCATGCTGTCCTGCAGGGCGGAAAACCCTCCAACGGTGATTTTCGTAGTCGCTTCCAAAACATCGATGCCGAGTGCCACAACACCGGGATGCTCGAACTCATCGCCTTGGCATCGATGAGCTTGCCATTGATGGGATGACCTGCTGCCGCAGAACTTATATTTCTGCATTTGCTCAAATGCGCAACGGGTCCAGGGTGCCCGTGTTTGTGCGTGTGTGTGCGTGTGTGTGTGTGTGTGTGTGTGTGCTCGCATCAACATGCCAACAATCCAAGCATCGGTCACACATACGGAGGCGCCTCTACGATTCGTGACTATAAATCATGCACAGAAAAATCACTTCGATGTGAAAGGACTCGCCACATGCCGCATCGAGACTCAGCATCTTGCCCAGATCACAGCAACTCCAAGGAACCGACCTTTTCTTGATTGTTGGCCTGACTGGCTCTATATCACTAGCACCCACGGAACTGACCGATTCTCTGAGTTCTCTGCACACAATCGTCAAAATATTGCACTATGCTGAGGCGCAGACTTCAAGTTGGGCAGCATGCCTCGTGCAAGCTGCAAGCCACTACGGGTGGCGCCGCAAACAACCGTGCTCCAAACTCCCCGCACTCCTGAAAATGATCAAGCAATTCGTGTGTTAGGGTAAGAAAGCCCAAGCCCAGAGGTCCGGCAGTGGAAACCTGCAAACTCAGCATAAGCCCCATGCCCCAAGGCATGCCCTCCGTGGACTCCTGGTGCCTGCACATCACACACTTGCATGCAGCAGCGTCCCTCCTCTTTCCAAAACGCAGTGGGGCGAGCTCTGAAGGAAAAACGTCTTGCCTGATTGGTCTCGAGGTGGCGATGCATCCACTCCGGCCTTCAAGGCGAGCCGCTCGCTTAATCTCGTCATGCTGCCTCGCTCCGGGGCGTTGGCAAGCGCATTTCCCTGACAAGTCTGACCTTGGCCGGAGGATGCCTCAGTCTTGCACTTCATGGAGTGACCCTTACAAGAGGCACCCTGTGCAGCGGGCGCGATGAGCCAGACATCTCGCACTGCCACTTCACAGTCCATGCATCTCGTAAGTTAAACTGGAGACAAATGGCAAATGGACACAAACTTGCAGAAGCGGTAATTATTGGCATTTGCCAACGAAACTACGTCTGAATCTTGGGAATCGAATTGTTGGCTGTTGGCCTCGCTTCCACCGCCAAAACAATCGGGTTTTAGCTGCCTGCTGCCCTTGGATCTGGCAGTTTCGAAACATCTCGAAGCACTTCCTTCTGTCACCTCGACCCTCGGGCAAACACAAGGGCTGCAACTGACTCAATATGCAAGACAAGAAAGTCCACGGTGGCCGTGCAGCGGCTGCCGGCTGTGCGGAGCAGCCCGCGGAAGAGACTCTCAAAGCCAAGACCCACATCCCGGACAGCTTGCATTCTTTCAAAGCAGCCTCCTGTTTGCTCCCTCTGACCAAGTATGCGACAAAACGAACACCCCTTCCACAGCTGCGCATTCGCAGCTTCAGTGAACGCAACATGTGCGGCGTTGTGCAGCGGCAGTGCAGCGAGCGCTTACACTTCATGTGGAGGTCGTCTGCCATTAACACTTTCCGTGCGCATTCCGACGGTACTGTTTGCAGGCGCAAATGCCCTAGAGCCTTGTGTTCAAGCTTGCGTTACGAGCTGTTGCTTGCTGCTGGCTTTTCATGCAAAAGAACGGGCTGAGTCTTAAGTCTCAGCCGTAAAGCGAAGCACTCTCGCAGCTGTTCAGGTTGCGACACTCCCATGGGCAGCGGCAGAAGTCCACTTTTTGTAGGTCGACACCTGTCGAAGCAGGAAGTACTACTTCATGCATTCGCCATCGACTGGACGTCCTGGGTACCGAGCTTTTCCATTGCCTGCGCTGTCAGATCTGCGCGACTGAGTGCCGTAGATTGAAATGCTGCGTCGCCTTCAACACAGCCGCCTTGAACTTCTCAATGTCATCCTTGAAACCTGCAGAGGGTCAACAGCGCGGATTTCGCGCCGAATCCCATGGAAAACAAACTCCGCCTGGATTGGATTTCTCCAGCACCTTCGAAAGAAAAGCGGAGATGTGTGCGGGCGAGGTTGCAAGATGAGGCAAAGCATGACAAAGCAACGCGTCGGTGTGCGAGTCTGGTACACCGAGTCTATGTTCACTCGATGTCCCGCCATAAACTGCTCCATGACGTTAAGGCGGTGCTGCTGCACGGGCCCAACACCTCAAAGCATTCCATGTGACTCAAAGTGGTTTATGGCCCCACATGGCCGCAGCATGGGATGTCACAACGGCGGGAGCTCTTGGGACAACAGAAAGGCTTCGAACGCCTAAGCTTCGCTGACGCAGCCTTCGAGCTCTTAACGGGGCGCTGGCCTGTGCCAGCGTGTCGTCGCATTAGTTCCAACCTAAGCAGTAACTCTCAAACAAAAGCTGTAGGCCATGCCGGGCATGTAGACAATGCACTGTCCGGGAAGCCAAGAACGTGACAGGCTTGTGACCTTCTGGAAGCGGAAAAAGTCGATGGTGATTCGACGATTGTACACCTTCATAGTAACGGCACAGAAACAGCACCATTTTACCGAGCAGAAGCTCACGCATGTGGTCGACTTCACCACACGCTCGTACCTTGATCTTATCATAGTTCGACCAGAAACGAAGTGAAGGCAAGGACCTTAGGAAGTGAGCGAGCACGTCGCTGGAGTTGGGAAGCACCGTCTGGAGGCCCGAGCTGCTGCAATGATCTCTGCAAGTGCATACATGGATTGATGAGCTGGCCTCGGCTCCATGTCGTGACATATGTGGGCCCGACGAGCCACCCTGTGTGCCGTGCTATATCTGTAGCAAAGCTCGATGAAGTCTTGCATGCGAAACCTGACCAACTCGGTGGGTTCATGGAGGCGTGGAAACTGCGAATATCAATTTGCTGGCGCTCGCAAGATCCCCCTTAGACGAGTGCTTTGCCAATGGCAGCTTGGCGAAGTTGATCGAATTCGTGTTGAATGCATGAACCGGACCTTTGCGCCAGTTTCTATATGATGGTGGCCGGAAGATCTCATGAAATACTAGCCTGAACCTCTGAGCATGGCACAAGTGTAGTAGTCGTCGTAGAACTCTTCCAGCTGACTGCTGGTGAGGTAGTGCACCTCAGCCCAAGGTTTGCAATAAATATGTTACATTGTTACATCTCTGAGTTCGCAGTCAGTTCTTTTTCTGTAGCAGGGTTCCCTGCAACACTTACCGGGATGGGCCCTTCACTGCGAGACCCATCCAAGGGGCGAGAGGCGATGCTCACATGCGACCAACGTTCCGTTGCACTTTGGATGCTCTTCTTCTCTCTTGGCCCCGGGGCGGGGGTTGCCGCCTGGCATTTTGGGATTCCGGGTCCGTGCGAAGTCCCAAAGGATTCCGCACAGCCAGGCCAGGGCTTTCGGCTTGTGCGGGGCCTCCGCTGCTCCGGACCACATTTCGCTTTCTGCTTCGTTCATGCCAATCTCAAGGGTTGGAGGAGTACCACTTTGCGAGGAACTTTCTTGCTCGCGGCACCGAAACAAGTAGCCGCGTATCGGAACTGAACCTTCAATTTCCTTTTTTTGCCACCCGCCCAGCTGAACAATGTCGCACCGCAGGGAACTCGTCTGAACCAACTACGACTAGAGAGAGAAGATCCTAGGGTTCGTACGCGCCCCATGCCGACAAGCCCAACGCCAAGTAACAAACATAGGAAGCAGGAGAGCGTACCAACGCCGGACCTTGGAAACCTAGCGCCTCTCGAGAAAGTGAGTCGCAACTAGCCCCAACGACCCCCAAGTAGATAACCGGTGCCACTCACAGTATCTCGAGGGGGACTCTGTAAACTCTACCAAAAACAATGTACAGGATGGTTTTGGAGGGCATGCACACTAGCTATCACAGCCTAATTAATGTGGCAATTATGAATTAAAGCGCAGCCTCAAGGTCGCAGTACTAGATCAGTCCAAGTCCCGAGAACAATGGAAACAGCAAACAACATAGACAGGTAGAATTACTGCGTAGACTCGCTGCCAAGTTCTTTCAGAGGTGGGACTCAGAAATAGTCGCTTGCACTCCATGTCACTTAGCAGCTTGCATCGTCAGGAAAGGGAACAGCGCCAGGGTTCGTACTGGTCGTGTCATGTCTGTATCGTCTCCAGAGATGTTGTGCGCAGTGCATGTGCAGCCTGATGGCGTCCGAACTGCATCGCGCCTGATGCCAGTCGTGTGAGCTGTGCACGTCGGCCTCGTCACGTCCTGTATTCTCCGACTGCCAGTCGAGGGCGGTAATCTGAGGCCTTTGATTGCAGCTGTGGTCCCAAAACTTGGGAACCCACATGTCAACAAGAAGTGCCCTCGTCCAGCCGGGAAGGAGAGGTCGAAGACATAGGCTATAGCAACAGCAGAGAGACCAGAGGGATAATGTACTGTTTTATCTCTTTCGGTCACCAGCAGAAGGCTTGTCCATAGCAGGAGCAGAGCGAACAGAGGGATAATGTACTGTCCCCTCTCGTTCGATCACCAGCAAGAGGCTTGTGTCCGCAGCTGTGGCCGTTGATCCTGCCACGTCGGGGTCAGAAGCTTCACTCAGTTGGCGTGCCAATACAGTGGATCGCATAAAAGGCGATGGTCCACTGTGGTATTCTGTTGGCTTTCGAGAGAGAAATAAAAAGGGCCGGTCCATGGTGACCTGATCAAGGTGGAACGCACTGTCTATATCACCTGATGCCAGTAGCTGGGGTAGTTTCTCAGCTGTCGAGTCAGCCAAGGCGTAGCCAGCTTCTTCAGTCAGTCATCTCGGCCCCGGGATGCCTGTGCAGTGGGTCGCATCAAGGCAGGGCCAAGCGCAGATCCATGGCGGCACTATCTAGGAACAGTTCGCAGAGGGATCCGGCGACATGATGATGTAATGACAGAGAGGGAGGAAGACATGAGGGCAGTGATGAGAGGTGGAGGGAGAGAGAGTGTGCTTTTTTTTTGGGGGGGGGAGTATGCCGGGCATGCAGTTCAATTAACGCATTACTAATTAACGAGGAGCAAAGGGACCTGTGGCGTAACGTAACGTGCGGCTACGACGCGAGTAGAATTAGAGTGCAGGAAACGGCACGAGCGGGGCTCAATTAGGGACCAATTAGGCATCTAGGATGAATTAGAGTGCTGTGGGACTCGCGAGGGGATCTTGCACCCCACTCACCGTCCCTGTTGTAGCGGCTCATGTCGCCAATTTCCTTGCTGATCCTGACTTCGTTTCACAATCATGACACACTTGCTTTACATCGTCTTCACCGGGCCCGCAATCCAAGTACTTCGGGTTCCGTTTTTGAAGCAGCCACTAAGTCATCGCCAACAGGATCCAACAGGTATAGACGGTATAGGGTATAGACATAGACCAAGAAGGACCCTGTTGAGCTCCAAGTCTGACGACACATTCATTGATTGCACGTGCTCTTCAAGTCTTCGTGTTCCGCATTACAGGGACACCACAGCGGCCAGGGATCCAGCAGTCCAGCTCTTCATCTCTTTGCACACAACATAAAACATGACCTGCCAGAAAAAACAAGACTACACGTCCAACATGCCGAAACCACCCCCAAAAACAAGCCTGACATAGCTCGAGCTTGGACAGGGCACAAAACCTTCATCGTTCGGCTTTAAACGAAGACGTCACCCCGGTCAGAAGCGTGCTCCGCTGGGACAGCTGCTGCATGGTGACATAGAGGAAGCCGTCCCATGTGACCTCGAAGCACCAAGAAAAGCTCAAGAGACCTTGAGTCTTCCCGATATACCTTCGCATTGGATTCCGTCACTTGAAATCTAGGGCAGCGCTGTGTCCTTGTAGCCGGCCAGATCGAGTAGGAGTATCATGATCTTGGCGACCTTCAGCCCGGGTACCAAATCCATTATCGGTCTGACTGCCTCCCGAGTGGCTTGGCATCCGACCCACTGTCGATGGTTCCTCGAGTCTGCACATACCGTCTATGCCTCGCAGATCCAGGTGCTGAGGCCCCCACTTGACCAGTCTCGTCATGCTTGCGGTGCTGACCTGAGCAGAGTCTCGAGCAACCCAAGGTTCCGGCACCGATCCGCCCAAATAGCCCCGCACTTCATCGGGCCCGACCCGCAGAGTGATGGAGTCGAAGCGCTTGAGCCTGCAACCAAACAAGCAGCACCGGCGGTGCTGCTCTTGCATATGTGCTGGGGGCGTGGCCGTTTAAAAGTCTTGAAGAACTGCATCACCCTAGGAGGTACAGAGTAAAACAGCCTGAGCCTCCGACGACAGCCTGAGCTTGCGGCAAGCGAGGTGTGATTTTCATGTCTTGCAGCAGCTCCACCACCTTTCAAGCCCAAATGTTTCTTCCTCACTCAGTCCTGTTGCAGAGCGGCCTCAGAAGCAGGTTCTGGAGGCTTATCGAAGGAGAAGTTTCCCAAGCATGCCCTGGCAACTTTCTTTTCACCAGTTGCAGCTCTGGACGGCCAGCTTGCCTGAACACTCTCAACACCTTGCTGGCAGTGGCGAGAAGCACTCCTTCCTCCTGGAACTGGCATTTCGTGCGGGTTCTCAGTCCAGTGAAGACAGACATCATCTGACTTGCGCAACTGTAATGCCGGATGATCATGGTTGTTATTTGTGCGGTGCACGGACAAGCAATGCTGCATGACGGGACGGACCCTGTCAGCAAGTTAATGTCATGCGCAGCACGCATCACACACCTCATCATCTGTGCTTCCCTTCGACTTCCCCATTTCCTCCTGTGATGACACACATTCCATGCAATGCCTGGCCAGTGGTGGAAGTGGCAAGAGTCCTAATCGGCCGGCGATGCCACTCTCCGACGGACCTCGAGGCACGAAAAGTCGAAAAGGCCGGCTGAAGCTTAAGGGTAGCAGTGCTCACATGGTTTGCACCTTATCTGAGGGTCATCTTCCGAACTGAGTGACCATCACCTGATATCGCCGGAATGTGACTTGGATAGCTTCCTTGCTTATGTCCGTGGTTGCCTTTGCACCTCCAAGCCGCGGAAGTAGAGGTGCCCCACTGTTTGAGCCATCACGAGCAGACAGGAGAACCACAACATGGGGATACATGGGGTTGGTTTATCAAGGGCCAACTGCATGCTTCCAGCACTGCACGAGGCTTTTCCTTCTGCATGGCTTCCTCACAGTCCGGCTCCCGTCGCCGCTTTGTGCAGCCCTCACGGGTTCCTTGCCTTTCGACTTCTTCATTGGCCGAATAAGTGCCAAGACGAGATCGGAGAAGCATCGCTGGCTTCTGGTCAGACTCCATAACGTTGTGTTCCACACGAGGGCAAGCAAAGTCCGTGATGATGAGGGCATGACCATCATTGCTTGACAAGCTGTTGCCTCGAATGATACAGGCGGATTTGTCCGCAGCCCTGATGGCCTGCCTTTTATGACCTCGAAACTTGTTTTCCTCAATTGTCGGGGATGCTTCACCACGCACATCGATTCCTGCAGCATAATTATCGGTGAAGCTGTTCTGGCTGATGCGGGCAGAAGATGTACCATCCACATGAATCGCGGAACAGCGGCATGCGGACAAGAAGTTCCCTTCAATCACAGGAGAGGCCTGCTCGCTAACGAGAATGCCGTAGCCTGCATTACCCTCAATACGATTGTTCCGTATGGTGGCTTGCGCAGCGTCGCGGACAGCTATCACACAGCGCCTCGTGCCCCTAGCAAGGCTTGCACCGTTGAGCGTCCCACCCTCTCCGTCGTCGGCATGCCCGGCTCTCATGGGCTTTTGCAATTTGTACGGAATGTTGGTTTGACCCGTCTTGTTTCGCAAGATCATCCGCTGCTCATCAACATCGACCCACTCTTCACCAGCCTCACCTGAAATGTAGGCTAACTTGTGTGTAAGCTGATTCTGCGAGTCTTGGCGCTTGGAGACAACCTTCGCACGAACCGTGCCGGAAGCAGAAGAAAACTCAATGACAGGCGCGGTCTTGCCGTTGTTCGTCAACGTGTTGTCTTCCACTTGAACAGAGGCTGTGCCAGTAATGAGCACGACAGCCCCATCATTCTCCTGCATCACATTACCTCGAAGCTTGCCGTTTGCCTTGTGCTGAAAAGCGACTGCAGCCATTTTCTGGCCCCGCATCTCACAAGATTCGATGTTGGCAGATGCTTGGCCTCGGACCAGCACACCACACCCATTATTGGATCGGAAGCCCGTGCGTTCCACTTGAACTTTCACAGTATCACGGAACTGCATGACCGGTGCTGCATTCCTGTGCAAAACGCAATCAGACACCACAACGGATGCCTGCTCTCTTGCGGAAATACAAACGTTCAGGTTTCCCTCAAAGGTGCAGCTGTTAAGCTTAACCTGTGTTTCGTCCCTAAGGATCAATGCCGTGCGACGGCACGAAACGAAAGAACATTCTTGTACAGTAGCGTAGGATGTGCCCTTCACGATAAAAGGCTCGGACAGTGAAACTGTGCAGCACTTCAGCAGCACACTTCCACCCTCGACTTCCACTCCGCCTTCACCCTCAAGGTGCAGATTCCGCAAAGACGCTTGTGCGGGACCCCGCACGGCCACCCGCATTGGTTGCGACTGCAAGCCTTTGAATATTACCTTCGACCCCCCAAGTGAAGTGCTTGTACCCATCAGCTCGACAGGTTTGTCAATTACAAAGCTCTCGTGGTAAGTCCCAGCGGAGATGAGGATAGTTGCTGGAGGCCACGAACCAAGTTTCCCCAAAGCTTCCGAAACTGTTGGGCAGTCCCGTGGCACACAAACAGCAAATCGCAAGCATCCCCAAATCAAGCTCTGCAAATGCTGCCAGAAAAAGCTTCCACTTGGAGCGATTTTGGAGACAGTCTCATGCACTGCTTGGCGACGCAGCCACTGCAGGAGTGGTTGAAAATGGTCCGAATCCATGGCAACATTGCAAAACGTCAGCGACTGTCGCTCCTCGCAGCCAAACCGCATCGAGCTTGATTTATGTCCGCGCGGCAGCCCAAGCGAGCGCGGCTCGAAAGCGCAATGCATTTTCTGACAGGTCAAGAAATCAACGCGCAGTTTAGCGGGTGTAAACTGCGGTGAGACAAAGAGGCAGTATCTCATAAAACAAGCATGGGTCACTTCTGCTGCATCTCTATCATGGTGATGCATGTTGACAGCTTCGCCTGCACACATAGCACGGACATAAGTAACAGCTCCAGCTCTTCAGCAACACTGGGCCTCGCCAGGAGCCGCTTATACAAATGCTGGCAGCGGAGCATCATTTTTTCGGAACCTTGGGAGCCTTGCCCCCTCCTTGTCCTACGGGTTCCAGTTCCAGGATGTATGTAACCACGAGCCTCTAGTTCTGTCAAGAGTTTGCTGGACACGCTTCCAGCTGCCACCGCAGCATCCAGCCTAGGTCCAGTTTTTCAAAGTGGGGGAAGTTCGGTGCCGACTTCGCTCTCGCTCGCTGAGCCGCTGAGACCGTGACGATGCAAGGGATGCTTGCAAGCCCACACCACCTCGGCTTCCGCTGTGCCTATGCTGCGAAGCTCTGGCATTGCACATTGGAGTGAGTATAAAACGACATGAATGGCTCAAAAACTCTGTCGGTACCAGTATCTTTTGGTACGAGAAACAGCCCATCGATGCTGTTAGCAACGCCTTCGGACTATCCGTGTTCACCGAAGGGTCAACAGTCACTGTCCCGTCCACTCCACAAAGCCGAGGCTTCATGCAGAGAGCAGTCTTGCCTTGGCCTGCCTTGGCCTGGACGCGAGCTGTTAGCAACTCAAATTATAAAATGCTTCACTCAACATCCTCAAGAAGCTTCCAAGGCTTCCGCAGCTATGGTCGAGCTCCCACGTGAAGATTAGAGCACTTTCGAAAACTGCGCCAGTCACTAATATACCTCACGTTGAGGGCACGACGGAGATTCTGAGTTTCCATGGAAGATTGAAACTTTGCACAGGAGAGACTGAAACTGCAAGCCCGGGCCGGAGAGACTGCAAGGAGCGTGAAAAAAGTTCGAGGGTGTGTGCAGAAGTTTTCGCTAGGGTCTTTTAGCACCTGTGTTGCATTTCGGAGCCGACGGCGACAAACTCGAAACAACATCTTGGACTCCATACCGCCGCCAAAGAATCTCGACTGCGGCCCCAAACTCCGCAAACAGCACGGACAAAAGGTAGCAAAAGTGAGCATTTTGCGACCAGCGCAAGTGCAGTGTGTACGTCCTTCAGCTCCGAGACACATACTGCGCCAAGCACTCGCGCCAGAGTCTCGAACTTTCGTCATACTTCCGAACTCTGGTCTCGAACGTTCGAGCCTGGAAGTTGACGGCGTGCTTCAAAGCTTGAGACTTCAAGACAAACGAAGTGGCAAGCTGTCACGCCGCTGTCTCGAACCTTCAAACTCTCGACCTCGCCGGCGACGCGTGAAGCACACCTGAATTTAAGCGTCCCGCTCTCAGACGGTTCGATCGTTGAGATTTCAATCCTTCATCCTCTCGACCTCTCAAATGTGACATTTGAGGTTCAATCGAACTCGGACGCGGCTGGTTCAGATTGAAGCAGCCACTCGAGCTTGAAAGTTCCAAACTTTCGAGTTCGAAAAGCTGCAACATTAATGCCTGCTCACCGGCAAAAACTTGCAAAGGAGCCTCCGAAATGTGCAACCTTTCCAGCTGATTTCGAAACTTCAAGCAACTGAGTTCGAAGGCCCCTCGGAACACTGAACCAGTCTCATCAAGGCCCTCCTCTGGGCACAGTGTTGACGGCAAGCCAGGTGCAAATTCCCGTGAAGCTCTTGGCGGCACTGTCCCTGGTGCCAGTAAGTCCACGGCAAATATCCTCTGCAAGCCGACGCAATCCTTGCGCCCTCACCTGCACAATAGAGCGAGAACAAATCATGTCAAGCTGTGCCACTTCTTCGCAGTATCCAGCACATGCTTGCAGGGAGCTTCTTTCGACTTATGTCGCATGCGTACTAGTTAACAAAGCACGCCTTTTCCGAGCTGAGGGGTCCTGGCAAAGAGTCGGGTGCGGGTCTCGGAAAAGACCGCCTGCTGGATGGCATGTCCATGCAAAAAAACAGGCCAGCAGCGCCAGTTGCACCTTAGGCGTCAGTTCACACCCGCACGCATCATCACCCCGCAAATGCGAAGCCACAGCACCAACTCTACATACGATACTAAAATTCTGGGAGAAGCAGCTGTACTGAACTCGCATGCTCAGGCAGATTCACCTAACCTCGCCACCGTCACTGCAACACTGTATGGGCGGTGTCACCACGATGCCGGGAAGCCATGCCAGTGAGACGATTCTGAAAGGAATAAACACACGCAGCAGCTGCCTTTCCGTCGCACAGTCGAAGCATGCGAAGCATGATGATGGCCGGGCCGGGGTTTGCTGGACAGCAGCCCTTCGACTGAGGCCCCGTCAGAATGCAAACGGGGGGAGCAAGAAACTTTCTTTTGGCACGAACTCACTCGAAATATCCCGAGATCCTCCAGTATCCATTCTTTGTCAATCTTGCCACGTTTTGTTCGTAGCCGTTGCACATGAATGCGTTCGATCGCCCCGAAAATGCTTGGTCAGGCACGAGGCGAGCGCGATCTCGACCTCTAAAGCAGCAGAAGCTTGCAGTCACTGACAAAATAGTCATAGCCGTAGCTCAGAGTTCAGAGACGCTCTGACACGCGACCACTTGTGGTTCCAGCATGTACTCGCATGCATGTTTTGTAGAGCCCCGCCTGCGATGCATCTTTTGATCCGAGCTGGCTTCCTGGTGGAGTCAACACGCCACATGCGAAAAGGAGTCAAAGGAAGGTGTTTCACATCCGCAGCCCTCCGGGAGACCTGCGTCCCGAAGAAGTACGGGTCCAAGTATGGGTCGCAGATCGCCTCGGACCTCTCACTGGCGCCGGACTGCAGACTTCAGCGCGACACAGTGTGACGAGGCCGAGGCTCCTGCGGCTCCTGTTCGAAGGCAGTGCGGTTTCGCTCCTGCGGAAGAGAGAAATCAGAAACTTCGAGTCTTTATTCTTTATGGTGGAATCTGCCAGTCCTCAGCTTTCAGCGCAGCACTGAGACGTTCCACAAGCCTGGAGCAATCCCAAGAGGATAGGGACACGGGCCGGAAATCAAGCATCTGCCCTGGGCCGAGCGATGAGCGTAAATTTTTTGCCGCCCGTGTCCAATCCCCGCCTGCAGTCAGAGTCAGGCCGTGTCAGTTGTCCGCGTGTCAGATACAGATACTGTCAGAGGCGTGAGGTACAGACTCCTGGAGCTGCGCCTGCGCAGGCAGGTGAAGGTAAAGACACCTTTGTAGCAAAAGAAAAGTCACCGCCACCGGCCTGCAGCTCATTGTAGTCCAGGTGATTCAATGATCGGACATCCATCTGCTGCCGAGTAATTCGTGCAATCACGTCTTCAGTCTAATTTTTTGGACTTATGCCCTTTCAATCGCTCCCGGAACATCTGGCAATTCACTGCAGGAATCCGCCGTTTGGTGCTTTATGTATAGTATCGTTTAGTGGTGCGACGTCGCTGTCAAGTCGCCAGCACTTGATATCAGAAGACTTTGCGGATCGGACAAAGCTGATGAAGCTGCTCAGGTAAGCCATGCTAACATGGCTTGATGTATCAAAATGATTCCAACTGTGTTGTCTTCCGTTTGACCCCTGTGGCTCCTGAAGCGGTCTCGAAATTTGTGACATGAGCCGAGCTTTGCCCGGGCAAGAAACCTACAGCCTGTCCACGAACACACTGCGCTCTTCCTGCCAGCTTGCAGCTAGATTTCAACCCGCCGCCCTGGACTCCGCAATTTCAGTCGTAGCTACTGCGGTGGGCCTTGATGAGAGTCTACTGTACGGCTACTTCTGTACAATCGATGCGCTTGAAGCGCTTGCATGCATAGCGCTTCTTAGGAGCTTCCTTACTTGCAAGACTTGCATGGCCATGCCGACTGACTGATCCGACTTGCAGCTCCAGCTGAGGCACAATGTCACTGCATCTCGACGGTCGAGTTCGGATTGAATCTCGTGGCCTAACGGACTGTTTTCGGTGTCTGCTGGCCTGGTGCTCTAGAGGGACCTACCGCGCCTGAGAAGCCATGCCGTGCCCACTGACGAACCTTGCGGGCTTGCAGGATTGATGTCGTGCCGAACACGAGAATTGAAGCCAGGTCTGGGGGGTCCTCACGGAGCAGGTCGTCGATGACGTCTGCAGCGGACAGCACCTCTTTTGAAGTCATTGCTGTGCAGCAGGCTCCGTTTAAACGGCGACTCCGGCGACTCCGGCCTGGAAGCCAGCATTCAGTTCTCTGACCTGCTTCGCTCCCCAGTCTCGTTCACACAACACCAGGGTCTGCGTCGGATCGCAGCCATATTTCTCAAGACGTGCCAGCGCATAAGCCGCATTTACGGTCTCCTTGGTCTGCTGGATGTTTCAACGAGACTCCAGTCACCGCTACGAAATGCCAGCAAGGAACTAGCAAAAGGAGTTGTGACATGTTTGTGCTTATATCCAGCTTCAGACTCTCTGCTGCTGAAGCTCCGCAGTGGAGGGGTAGTGTATCAGCCTGTCTTCATGCAAACACAAAAGGGAAAAGCAGTCGTGCTCAGATCCCAAGCCTTGGGAGCGGTTGGCCCATGGATTTCTGAATTCTGACAGCTGATACCTGGTCCACCACCTGAGCTGTGTCACCTTGGTTCTAACTGAACTCCGAATATCCTCGAGTTGAATTTGCTGACCTGATGCTTCTCATCGCCGCAACTTGGTACCAGGCGCATCAAATGTGCCACATTCTGGAACCGTTCGGGGCAAGATGTCTCAAAGCAAAACGTTGGAAATGGATCATCTTGCGAGGTAGCCGCAAGGACCTCATGACTAAGACAAAGGCACAAAGGCAAATCACGCCATCTTTGGTAGATGTTGTTTGAAGGTTTACGGTTTCAATTTCAACATCTCATCCAAGGTGCTGCAAAATCCAACGCCCAGAGACGCAAACGCCTTGTCCGACGCACGACAGCTTGTGTCAACATGTAGACACATGGAAAGATGACAACACCACCACAATGTCACTACAACAACTGACTGAATTGCTGCCAAAATCTCTGAAGTATCGGTGCATGGAAATCCACCAACACATCAGCTTCGCATCGAGACTGCACTCTTTCTCGGCAGGTGTAGCGGGCGCCTGCACCTTCCCATGCAACCCAGTCACGTGCTGGTCACTTGCGCGCAGTCTCGACCCCATGCATACACCCCAAGAAGTCCTGTCACAGCCAGCTCGTGGCTGTCCCCCAGGTAAACCTTGACGCAGCTCAAGAGCAGGAGGGAGACCTCTTTATCCTCTTTCCCAACAAGGAGACAGCAAGACAAGCGTGCCAGCTCCACCCGCAGCAAACGAATCGATGCGGCATCGAGGCCTTGCTGGTGCAGGCTCTGCAGCACCACAGAGGATATGGCGCGGAAGGCGTTGCTCGCTTGTGCCTCGATGGATCGGGCTTTGCCATGCTTTGCCCAAGCACAAGTCACCACCAGAATGAAAGAAAGAGGAGGGCCCTACGAGTGCTACGGCTTGTGCGCTCAGTCTGTGCTCAGCTTCGCATCCCAGACTCTGACTGAAGACTGGCGTCGTAACCCAACAGCACCTTGCCGCAGCCTTCCCTTTTCGAGCCGTGTTGTTGGGCGCAAGCTGCTTGCACAAGAGAGGCGACGATGACAGGCCCACGACCACGAAAAGGTGGGAAGATACAGCGATGCACAGCGATTCCATGCGCCACCGGCTCCAGCCGCAAGAGCTGACTCAACTGCCCGGCACAAATTGTTGGCCGTGCAGCCGGCCTTAGGTTTACCTGGTGTTCTATGCCTACTCCAGCCAGCGATAGGGCAGGGTATCCCGAGCGGTCGGAAGTCTAGGCATCCTGACTTTGGCCGGCATCCGTTATTGGCAAAGTTTCCTTGCGCTTGTGCAGGGAGTTGTCTCGGTTTTCTGCACTTTCCCAGCCTCCGTTCAACCCCCGTAAGTATGGTGTTGACCGGACGACAGGAACGTGACCACGGCCCTCCCGGTCGCCCGTGCCCGTGCGTCACCCGGCCAGGCCAAAATGGTTAACCTGACCGAACCACCGGACTAACCTGAATTGGCGACGAACGGACCGGTCTTTCACGCTAGTTTAGCAGGACGCAGGAAACATAAGGAGAGTTGCTGTGATGAGGCAATTGTGGTACCCGTAAGATTGTTATATAATAACAAAAACCCTCACCCTGGTTGAGGACCCAAGCTCATGCTTGAATCCAACAAACCACAACCCATACGGACCCTTTCAGAGCCCATGATATTGACGTTGTGTTTGCAAGTGGGAAGGCTGCGCCCTCCCAACCCCTTGATGGTCAGTCCAGAAGGTTCGAAGTCGATCGGCGGCGCACCAGCAGCGACAATCGTCATTTGAGCGAAAAACGAATCCTATGACTCGAAGTTTTACGCAGTCGATTTGCGAATTATGATTCAAGGATTAGAAAATGGAATTCGTAATTACTTATTCATGCTACGCATTATCTCTACCCACTCATTTTTTGTGGTACTCTGAATTCACAGTTGCCTAGAACGTTCAGCTTCAGCAAAATTCCGGGCGATGCAGTTTCTGGCCGGTCGCCGCGCTCCAACAAGCAAGGTCATGTTGCTCCACATAGGCCACATGGCAAACATGGATTTTGCCATAATTGCCGAAGCATGCAATTCGCGCCCACATTTGTCGATTCCGATTCATCACATATCGAAAACCTGTCTGACATTTCGAAAGTTATATAAGAATTAGAAGCGCTGGACGCAACTCGTTTCGATGAATCGATGTTACCATGTTGAACATATTTCTTAAGTCCCCTTATTTGGTGATCACGGATCAACGATCACATATCTGAAACCCGCCATTTGCTAAACCCGCCCTCCTTCGGCGAAACCGGTTGACAACACATCTTCATCCAGTCCTCTCAGAAGCGGTTCATTTAGCGATCCTGGTTGATCACAGCTCTTGAACAACCCGGCTCCTGATTCTAGCGATCCCGGTCGATCACTCGAACCCGCCTGCTCTCTTGGCGATCCTGCGTGATCACATGGCTGAAACGACGTGCCCCTCATGTGGCGATGTGATCCCACTTCCTGACATATTCAATGTGCGATGTCTTAAACCCGCCCTCTGCTTTGGCGAGTGCGATTCATCACACATCCTAAATGTGCTCCCTCGTTTCGCAATGTCGGTTGATCCCTGCCTTAAACCCGCCCCTCGTCTGGCGATTCTGCTGACAATCGCAGTTCATCACTGGTCTTAGCTGCTTCCCCTCGTGTATGGCGATCCCGGCTTAGCACATAACTGGCATATCTAACACTCGCCCCTCTTTTGGCGACTCCGATTCTTCACACATCTTAAACCTGCCCGCTCCTTTATCGAAGCCGGTTGATAACACATCTCAGTCCCGCCATCGCTTTTAGCGGTCCTTGTTGATCACATTTCTCAACCCGCCCCCCCCCCCCCCACCACCACATGTCGTGAACCTGACCCCTCTTTCGCCGATCCCGCCTCAGCACATTTCTCAAATGAGCCCCCGCGTTTTGTCGATTCCGAATCACCACGTACTCTATGTGTATGTGTGTATATATATATATAATATGTATATATATACACATATCTAGATAGATAGATAGATATATCTATCTTACATTGATCCCGGCTGATCACGTATCTTAAACCTGCCTCCTCCTTTGGCGACCGCCGTTGATCACATTTCTTAAACCAGCCCCCTGATCTCGGTGTGCCATCTCGTCGTTTTGGGGTCTATTATCTGCTGTTAGGTCTTCCATAATAATTCGCATCGTTTGCTTTCATTTCCATTCATCCGTCGCTTTTGTAGAGATATGTCAAGATGTTCCACAAGCACTGCAAACTTGCTTTTCTGTTTGATGCTTTGTCCGGCAGGCCTCGATGGGATCGCTTCAGGTCAGCCCGGTCAGCCCGGTTCAGTTCGGTCAGCAGACACGCTCCACCGGCCCGGGTCCGGTCCGGTTCAGGTCAGTCGGTCCTGTCCATTCCGTTCCGGTCAGCTGGTCAGTTCAGTCAGTCCGGCACGGTCACGGTCGGACGCTGCAACAAGAGTGGACAGATGTGTGCATCTCTAAACCACAGATTCCACACCAAGCTACGATCCCGATCTTTCGCGTGCGGCCAAAAATAAGAATCTCCCTTCCTGAGTCGGGTAAGGAAGAATCACAGACCAGAACCAAAAATCAAGTTTCAGCATGCCGCATCCGCGGACTCTAACTGCAGCGGCATGCAACTTGTATGTAGAGTTTAAGTACTATTGCAGAGTGTCTGGGCAACCGGATTTCTGCCGGCCGAGATGCTTTCCGTTCCATCCACCTGGGATCAGGCATGTTCGCGGCTTCGCATGGCTTCCCTAGATCAGAGCAGCCAGCAAGGAAAATGCAGGCCGAGGCCTCTATGCACAAGATCTTCCTCCCAGGCGGACCATCCAAGAGCCAGGAGGGTCGAACGGCATCACCCAGGAGCGGCTGCCAAACTTCCCTCGAGCAGGCAAAGAGCAAAGAGAAGAAAAGTCCAAAAAACTGCAAAAAGCACCGCAAATTGGTGTGACCTTGAGCGAGGCACGGCTGCCCCCAGAGCTTGGACTGGACACCGAGGAACAAGGGATATCTAAATCCAAGCGTAACCTTCTCCGCAAGCATTCGCATGCTGTTGGGATCCATAACAGGCAAGACATGATACTTCCCTTGTTTTGATGCCGTGGTATAGGTGACGAAGGAGAAGTCGCCACAAAGCCGAATAACACGCTCGTTGGCACCAGAGGACAGAGGAGGCTCTTCGCCGAGACGAACCCGCTCGTCAAACTGCTTTCTTGTGTTCGTTGTTATCTGTGCAATCTGAAACAACTGACCAAGCAAGCCGAATCCGGCCGCCACAGACCGCACTGCATGACACTGCCCAGCTGCCAGCATTCTTGCAGCCTTCTTTGCTGGATCCATGATGTGGAACACCAGTAGCTCCTCAGGGCTGTACCCCATTGCGTCTGCCACCAAAGCAGCATCCTGTGTCAACCACACGACAGACGGCAGAAGCTGCTCTGCTGCATAGCGTAGAATGAAGAAGAACGCAGCCGGATGCGAGAAATTGACAAAAAGCGTGGCTTCAATCATTGCAGCACCAAGCGTGATGGCTGTACAGATCGCCAACCTTTGCATCCCTATACGATCCGAAGTAGCGACCAACACGCTTTTTGCAAGACGCTGCGCGCGCTCTTGTGACCAAAGCCTGATGCATTCTTCCGTGTCAGTCATGAACTCGGCATCGGCTGCAATGCCTGCGAATGAATGAGCGTCATCACCCACGTAAACGGGCGTTGGGACATGTTCAAGGAACAGTGTCAAGCTGCTACACACTTGATAAATACATCGCTTCTGAATTTGCGGTCCTATGAGACATGTGAACAGCCCAAGACGCGAGCGTCGGGCAGGTGCATGACCAGCAAGTGGACGAATTCGTCTAAGTCGATCCTTCCATCAGAGTTCGCATCTGCCCTGGCGATGCATAAGTCGATGTATTCCTGGTCAGGCTGCCTACACTTAGTAGTTGCTGCCGTGGGAGCTATGCAGCCGATGTATGCTTCTTTTAGGGCAACTTGGCTTTTCTCAGACCAGCATCTCCCCCCCAACACCTTGCGACCACTCTCTCATGTGCTTGCCTTTGCGAATTGGCAGGAGATCCGCTCATGCTGGCAAGAATGTCATGTGTACAGCCGGTGCCGAGTCGCCGAGTGCTTGCAAAACAACCGCCACACACGACAGCATGCAAGCTCTTCCATGGCGTGCGTCAGCATCAGAGACATGACTTGTCTTCCAAACCGGACATGTGCGGCGCCCTGGCCATGACAAGATATCTAACAGTCGTTCTCGAAGGAGGCTCTACAAAGTCATGTTCAACGCACCCTTCAATGCAGTGTCCTCGGTCAGAGCCCATGTGCTCCCTTTCTCGTCAACCTGGTACCACGATGAGCAGACAAACATTGGCTGATCCGTTGACGATGCAGTAGCTCTTTCAAAAAGTGCGTGCACTTCTGCCCGCCTGCAAATGCTGAATCATCAAGGTCTTCACTTCGTGTAAATCAAGATATCCGTTGTTGTCTTTGTCGGCCGCCTGACAAGGAACCGTAGAATCGCGCTAGCCCGCGGCAGTCAGCCAAACAGACTAAATTGCCTGGTCTTGCTGAATGCACTTGGGCGAGAATTTGCAGCTCGAAACTGTTGGAGGATTTGGCACACTTGGCAAATTTTTGCCTGGAACAACTGCCGATAGGTCTCCCGCCACTTTTTTGCTGCCTCAGTGTGTTCGTTACAAGGACACCTGACATGCCCGTATCTCGAACCCTCGAACCGAAGAAGGTACGGGTCATGCTGAGAAACGACGATCTTGGAGACATCCGTGAAGCTCCGCCAGCCAGGTCGTTTCAATAGCCGGCACAGCGGAAACAAGCTCGACAAAGGCATGCATCATGAATCAGCTGCCGCTGCCGCTGCGAACTTCGGATTGCCAGTCTTTGGCCTGATTCGCCTTCGGAGGCGCCATGAATACAGAACCCGGTATATTTCCTCACGACACGGTCCATACAGAATGAAACTCCTCAAACGAATTGAATGTGGTCTGCACTAAATGTTGCCTACACTCAGCATCTGCGATAACTCGAGAACTTCAGTCTCTTCACAGCAAAATGTTCAAGACCATGCGTTTTCGCTTTGAGAGGCTGTGCTCGCAAGCGAATTGCAACTGCACTTCCGTGCAAAGGCCCGCTTGCGGCTGCGGGCAATCATGCATGGATCTGCTTGGCCGATAGTTGGGCCATTCGATGCTCAACCCAACCCTGCAGCACTTGATGCGCAGTAGTTTTATCTCACCAGAAGCATGTGAGTCAGCGCCATGACCAGCACTGACGACAGTGCCACGAAGCCGAGTCTCCATAAGTTGGCACATATCCTGGCAACACTACGAGCACCACTCTGTCTCTTACATCCCAAGCTTCCATGGGCATGGTACAAAGGTACTAAGGCACTACATGCGGGCCGTTTTTATGTCTGCAAATCCGGCCTGCCACCACGTGCTTTTTGTATGCCTGTCCAACATTGAATAAGCTTTGCAAGGCTTCGCCCGACCTTGGAAAGCCAAGCAGAAACAGAGCGTGCTGTCAGTGGGTTGGACTTACCGCCTTAGCTCCAAGCACATTTGGCAAACAACTCCAACGCAGGTGAGAGCGCCGGTGGCTTCTCATCACCGGTGCCGTGGCTCGAAGCCTGCTTCTCCTTGTGCTGAAAAGGTCCGTCGAACATGGCACGGTCTAAATTCGTAACATCGTACCGAGTCCGACTGTTTGGCATCGGCCTCGCCCCTGGCGTCGGCATGCCCACCAGGCTCCTCCATGGTGCATAGACAGGAACAGCAGGTTTCGCCAAGGGCGACCAGAGAGCATTTCGCATTGACCAACATGGCCAGACTTCTTGTGAGAGTTGCTGAGTGCCCTGCTCCGTGCAGCAGCTCTTTGCATTTGTGAAGACAACTGCGGATCTCCGTACCTGTCATCTTGAGTTGGCTTGCATGTTTAGTGAAACGGCCGGCTTCTGAAAAACAAGAATGGCACTTGTCGGCATCAATCGTGCCGCTTCCCGCAAGTCGTCCAAGGAACTTTCCAGGTTATGGTCCGGACCTGCAAGAGTGCCAGACACAAAAGTGGACGCACAATTGCGCCGACGCAAGTAGGCGTTCGAAGTGCCACTGGTGTGCACATATGTCCAAAGTAAAGTAGGTGGGTAAGCTGGGGAAGGGTCGGCAGGTAAGAAAGTGAGCAAGCAAATAGGTGCTTGTGTACGTGCATGTCTGGTTGTATGCGTGCACGTAGGTATGTATGTAAATAGTACGAATGCTCGTAATTATTGGGGCCACATCCTATGGAAAGGCTCTCTGTTGATTGATGGATTGGGTTGGACGGGTTGGATTATCTGTCGTCGATCGAATGGTAGGAAGAGTACAAGCTTGCAGCACCACACGGGATGCTGAAACGATTGAACTGAGTCGTAATGATAAAGTGACAATTCCGCACCTGGCTTTTGTAGGGTATGTCTGCTCTTAACAAAACTCGTCGCGAAACGTAACCTCAACCTCTGGACTCCGCTTACTGCAAGCCGCTTACTGGATCAAGGGGTAGAGGCCATTCCGGCGCACATCCGCAAGATGGCAAAAGCGCGTGAAGCATGTCGAAACATAATGCAAATGCACCGGCAGCGTGACGCAAGTTCTTTTGATATGATCAATGTCTTCTTTCGCCATTGCCGGTCCCTTCCGGCCTGGCTCCCCAAGTGCAAGAGCTCTGCGGTAACGAAGCTTCGCTTTGAACCTTGGCCCATGCCCACATTCCCACCACTCCTGGAGTTTTCTAACGTGTCCGCGGGCGCCGAGGGCCGTGCATATCTGCTTCGTCGCCGGGCAGCTTGTTTACATTTCGCAAGCCCAGGTGAGCTGCCTGACCACATCGTAAATGTCGGACTTTGCTTTTGTGTAGACGACGCAGCACAGAGTTTGTTGTAAACGCCTTGACAACGTTGCCAAAGTCGCCTCTTTTCAAGAAGACTTGCGCGAGGTTGCTGAGAACTGGCAACAGCTCTCGTGCAACAGCAAGCCTGTCGTCAGGCGAACGTAGACAAGCCCAAATGAAGCCCGGCAATATCTCACATGGCCTCTGCTCATCTGTCATGTCCATCTGTTCGTGCGGAGTAAAGTCCACTGCGTGAATGGCCTCCGGAACTCCAATCGTGCTACGAGAAATTACGAAAAAACACAGGGTGGTGTTGACGGTGTTGAGGACTGGCAAAGCCTTCCGTTTCGATGTCGCGGGGTGGCTGTTGGCGGTCATTGCCGGGGGTGGCGGGTGCATGTCGTTGTTCTTTCTGCTGTTGTCACTCTGGTTTTCGTCCAGATGCAGTCTGCATGGACCTGCAACATCTTGGAAAATCACATCCTGTGAAGCCGCAATCAAGACAAGCTCAGCTCCACTTAGCTTGGTGCAGGCGCACGGGCGAACTCTTTTTGTCCGCTCTTCCCTTCCGGACAGTGGCGAACTAAGTCTCGAGCTCTGCTCGCAGCGCATCCGAACTGTGCAAGCACAAGCGAAAACGGCTTCACAGGAGGCATAAACGAACTAGCCGGACTCTGTAACTCCGGGTGGGAGAGGTGGGAGAAACGAAAAACTGCTAGCTCGAACCTCTTCTCGGGCCCTTCGCTGCGAACTTCAAGCTGCAGATCTGTACCTGTTCCCTCGAACGGCTCTCGCTACGCACGCTTGTCACTACGAACACACGTGATCTGCACGACAAGCTAAGCTCCACTTAGCTTGGTGCAGGCGCACGGACGAACTCTTTTTGTCCACTCTTCCCTTCCGGACGGCGGCGAACTAAGTCTCGAGCTCTGCTTGTAGCGGACTCGAACTGTGCAAGCACAAGCGAAAAAGGCTTCACAGGAGTCGCAAACGAACCAGCCACCCTCAGAGCGCCGTGAAGCCACCTTTGTGCGCGCTAGCGAAGCTGAGAAGACAAAAGGGCGACCAGCTGAGCGAACTCTTCATCGTAGCTCTTGTAGTCGGCCTCGAACTTCTCGAGTATTGGACACACGTCCTTGAAGGACTCGTGGAAGAACCCTGCGACGGCCTGAAGCTCTCGAAGGCCTACTCTAGAGATGCCGTCCGAGATGTCCTACGAACTCGAGACTCTGCGGAAAGAAACTGAAATCGACCTCGGCGCGGCCCAAACCCAAAAAGGCTCCTTTGACTGCCGAGAGGCGCAAGTCCTTTGAGTAGCCTTTGTTCAGCGCGTGCTCCGCTAACGTGTTGTCTATCCAGCAGCAGACGTGAGAGTCGAACAGGTTGCAAACCGTAGCCAGCGAAACCAGCTGGGCCAGAGCTTCGAGTCAAAAGATGTATGCTCGAGAAGAGGCCAAGTTGGCCAGCACGGTCTGCGGTATCTCTCCTCTGAAGCTCAAGGGTTCCCGATCGGTATAACGACCAGTGCTCCACATCCCTTCGTCGCCTGACTCAGCTCTTGTAGAGGAGGAAGATCTGGAAGCCATCTGTTGGCTGTTCTGCGAACTCCGTGCAGTGTGACGAACGCGTCAGCGTAGAGGTGCACCACTGGCTGGCCTCGGATCCTCCGTGCCAATGGCGAACCGTCTTGGCTGGAGGCGAGGGAGTAGCTCTCGAAGCTGACACAACGCTTGTCTCAACCTGCGAGTCAACGAACTCGAGCCAGGTGAGCCGTTGTAGTACAACGGTTGCAAGAAGGCGCGACCAACGTGGTTGAAAACCCACGTGCACGTGAAGGACTCCGAGGCAGACATGCGACCGGAGGAGAGGTATCTATCGATCACCTCAACGAGCCGGCTAACTCGACGCCAACCTGGTGATGCGAACACAACCTCGAGGGTTATCACCCACTCGATCCCCAAGAGGGTCTGCGTCAACTTGGGCTTCTTGTGCGCCAGCGAACTTGTCCTCCCAACAAAGGTGGCGGCTCGCGAACGTTCTCTAATGGTGGGACGACGACGTTCGACCACCAGAGTCTCGGCCTTGACACAACACCCCAGCTCAAGGCGTCACAAGCGATAGCTTTGCATCCCAGAGTTTCGTCTAGTTCTTGCTGGCAAGACGCCGACATGACGACGTTTTCGAAACTACGGGAAAACTCGAATCAGCTCTTGTAACCAACCTGCGAACCTGGTAAACTTGGCTCCCTCGGTGCCTTGAATGCCTGGGGGCTGTCCTCGTATCCGCGAGAAGGCGTGACACGGAAGGGCTGCGAAAACGGAGGGGTCCACGGGTGCAGACAAAGGGTCAGAGAAAACGCAAGAAAGGATACCACAAAGGGTCTGGCAAAGGCAAGTTTGGCCGCCCTTCACCGTGCTGGGCACAGCAGAACCAGCAGCAGACCTGGCCTCAGCAGCGGGTCGAGCTGCAAGTTCGCACACGGCAACCACACACACAGCGTGTCTTAGTCGGCACCTCGGAGACGAACCTTTTAGCAGGGATCAGGGTCTCGGGCGCCAGAGACGAAGCACACGGTTTTTAGGGTTAAGAGAAAACTGGCGAACGGAAGCTAAAAACTGTCTTTGGGGATCACCGTCACTGCAAGGTCCGATGCCCAAGGCCATCGAGCTCACACCGAAGGGTCGCGTCTGAGCACCATGTGGCTCCGCGCCCCAAGGCCGGCAACTTTCCTCCGCAACCTCCTCCGCCTCAAGGCAGACACGCGGGCCGCAACAACGACGATTGCCGGTCGTACTTACTCCCAACACTGCGTCACAGGCGTTGCAGCCTGACGTGGCTCTGCCAGCATCCGAGCGAGCTGTCGCTCCGCACCCACCTCATGCAGCCACGTTTCCCAGTCGCAGTGCTCGGCAGATCTCGGCAGCAGTTGGAGCCATTCCCTTGTCGGGGGGTCTGGGACATCTGTGTGTCCTCCCACCTTCACCAACGCGTGCTTGCGAAACTGCCACGGAGGGTACGAACGATTCGAACTCTTCCAACGCTCCAGGGTGGTCGGGCTTTCTGTACGTCGCTTTTTGCCTGGCGGCTCCCGACCAAGTGGAGAGTCGGCCGGAGTAGTGAGACAAGGAAACCTTACGCGACCCGACGTGACCTCTTCGCTGAACGTCGCGAAGGGGCACGCTGATGCGAGCTGTCTGGGAAACAACGTGCTGTTGGGGATGACCTCCCAATGCCTGTTGAGCCGCCGCCATCGAACCTGACCTTGCAGAAAGTGGGGCGGTTCACGAACATTCTCTTGTGGAGGGTTGATGGCGTTGGACCACCATAGCCTCGGGCGGGAAACGACGCCCCAGCTCGAGGCGTCGCACGCGAAAGCCTTGCACTCTAGCGCCGAGTCCAACTCTTGTTGGCAGCTGGACGACATGACCACGTTCTCCACTAAGAACACGACCTTGAACGGAGAGGATCGAGCGAACTCCTTCAGCCACTCTGCGAACCTAGGGAACTTAGAACCTTCTGCGCCCTGAGTACCTGGTGCCTGGCCTCGGATTCGGGAGAAGTCATGGCAAGGTGGTGCGGCGAACACCAACAAAACTGTATCCTTGGGGACAGATGCCGTGATGGCTGCAAGTACCTCGGCCGGTTTGCGACCGAACACGTCGCCGCGGTGTATCATCTCTGGGTGTTGAGACGATGCGACCTTGATGGCGTCTGGGTCGAGCTCCCAGGACCACGCGAGCACTGGTCGGATCGACCAAGACTTGATGGCCTGAAGTGACGTCCCGGTGCCGTCGAAAAAGCTCAGGATGGCGACCGGAAAACGTGGTTGGAGGCCCCTCGTAGGCTGTACTGAAGGTGCTGCTGAGGATGTATGGTTGGAGGAGGTTGCGGGCGGAGCCACGTGAGGCTGCAACGCCTGAGTTGGTGGTGGTGAAAGAGGTAGGTATGGAAAGCGGAGCCACGTGAGGCTGCGACGCTTGCGAGGCAGGGTTCGGCTTGAGGATCACTGGTGTTCTGGTATTGGCGGCCCTGCTGGTAAGGGCTGGGGGCGGGCAAGGAGCATGCAAACCATCAAAACGCGGAGCCACGTGAGGCTCGAACGCGTGAGGTAGTGGCCGGCTCGAACTCACCGAAAAAGGAACTGAGGACGCACCCGTGGGTGGCGGAGGTGCCGTCGGGTGAGACTGTGATTGTGAGACCTTTCCGGACCTGACCTCGGCACCTGAGCAACTAACCTGTTTGCAGGGATTAGGGTGTCGGGCGCCAAAGGCGAGGCACACGGGTTAGGGATTAGGGGCTTACCGGGTATTGTCACCCGGACCTGTGCTGGATTTCCGTCTTCACGAACGGCGGGTGTCGCCCCTGATGGCTGAGGCGGTCCGAGCTGTCCCTATGCGGACGGCGGAGGGGGGACGGCCCCCTGGCTTTGGGTCGAGTTGCCGTGCGCGAACTTGCAGCTCGCTCCAAACCTGCTGCTGCGAACAACCTGCACTGTGGGCGTCCCCTGCTCTGCTGCTGCTGCTCCCATGTCTGCTGTTGGTGTTGCTGAGTCTGCTGCGACCAGTAAGGCGAGGGTCGGCCGAACTTGCCTTTGCCCTTGCCTTTGCCGGGGCCTTTCTCGCCTCCTTTCTCGTTACCCTTGCAGGACCGATCGGGAGGAGCCCACCTGCTCATGGCGTCCTGCTTGGCCTGCGGACTGGTAACCTCGGCTGCTGCCTGTGCGAACGTCTTGCCTGAGCGCAGGGCCATGGCCATCTCCCAGGACGCCTTCTTCCAAAACTGGCGTATCTGGGCGAACCTGCTGGCGTTGTCGCGTGTGAGGTCTTCCCAAAACGCGAAGTAGTCGCAGACCTCGGCGTTCGGCCCCCACCGAGCGAACATGAACGCGAACTTGCAGGCCTCGAACGCGTCGATCATCGTAACCATGCGCTGCGGCTCGGGTATCACCCGAGTGACCTTGGACAACGTGCCGTCTTCCGCCGCGAACAGCTTGGTCGACGTCTCCGGCTTTGTCGTAGTCGAAAACGGGTTGACCTGCCTTGAGGAGGTAAAGTGTCGCGAAAAGAGAACCTCTCCCAGGGGCAAGGCAGTGTAGAGCCCGGACTTCTTCTCGGCGACCATGCGGCCCAACGTCTTCTCCGCCCCCAGGAGGAAGTGAGCCGGAAACTTGCGGTTCCTCCCATCCACCACCGTGGACTCGTAATCCGTCACGAAGTCGTTCCAGT